CCAAACTGCATGAGCAAAGATTTTACAGAAGAATACAGATCATGGGGGGGCATGTAAAATAGATCTCAAATCTTCATCCACTCTCAACACCTAGAGCCACGGTGGCTGGATGAACTGTTTCCCTGAGACAATCAATCTTTAAACCTCAAACCAAATGTATCCCCTGATGTCTCCTCCAAACCAAAAGGTAGTAGTTGAATAGCTTAATTAGTACAAAATGTCTCCTTTGAGCATTATGCTCTTAAAAGAACTAGTTACGGACCTTGTCAACAGCAGCAACTCAAAGCCTAGCTCGGCAGAACCTTAGGGGCCAGTGGATTTGTTTAATGGATGAGAAATGACTCAGAAAAGGGAGGCAAATATAGTTACACAACTCAAAGAATGGGGCCGCAGATGCCACTGAATGGTGCATGCAGATCCTGCTGAACTCGTGTATGGTTTGCTGTGTATAGTCTCAACAGCAGAAAAAAAATTTAAAAAACCAAAAGGACTCTTTCTTCTCCCAATGCCACCAGGCAACTGGCCACATGGCCCGCACACTCCTGTATCTGTCAGCACTTCTGCGGGACCCTTTCCCGCCCAGCGTGCACTCCTCAGATCCCTACTTTCCCTGACCCCCAAGAGGCACTGCTTGCTTTGCATGGCAGACAAGGGAAAGAGGTGGATGTGTACATCCAGACGGCTCCGAGGCAGGTCTGCCATGGCCAACCTCAGCCAGTTCACAGCGTCGGGCTGGCCGTAACAACCCTGGGCACTCAGAGGGCACTTACTCATGCCCGAACACAGGGCCCACTGTCCATTCACTCTCCCAGTGCCTCTGATGCTTCCAAACCGCCCATCACCAAGGGCGCAGGAATGTTGGTGTTTTCCTAATGAATCACCGATTTCAAGGGTCAGCGCAGGCAAAGAATGGCTTTGGAATAAACACCTGCCTGGCCAACGTCTCCTGTTCATTACTGGGGAAACCGACGAGAGCCAAGGACAGGCACTCGGGGCCAGCTAGGGGGCTGTGGAGAATTCTGCGACCAGCTTCCCCTCCAATTGGCCACTTCCACACAGACAGCTGCCCTGTCCCAGAAGCTCCCAAGAGCCCCTCCTTCTGCCCCAGGGAACACAGCGCTCAGGGTGGGGCTGTACTGCAGATGTTGGCGGGCCTGGGCTCCCAGCTGGGTCAGCTGTGGCTCCGTGGGGATTCCTGTCCGTGGGACTTGGCTCAGCTGAGGCGTCCAGTTGCTTGGTCAACCCTTAGTCAGAACGCCCATGGCCTCCAGCTAAGTTTTATCGCCTGAACTCAGGGAGGAATAAACAATGGATTCCACACCAAGGCAACAAATATTTTCCATGCTTTTAGGTACTGCTCACCCAACTTTTTGTGAGTTTATTTAAACCGAATAACGGTTGCAATGGCTGCTCGTGGGCCCCCAGGTCCCCAGCTGGGGGCTTCGACTCCCCAGGCCCCAGCTTTGGGTTCTCTCTTTTATGTGCTAAGAGAGTATCTGGGCTTGGAGAGCCAGAAGAGGGATGGTCACCCCAACTAGAATGCACCCACAATATTGGGTCAAGATGGGGGGAACTTCACCACCTCCCACTGCAAGCCCAAAGGAGACGGGCTCCTTCACCTCCATGCTGAAAGCTGGGGATGGTGGCACGTGTGTTGCCTGCTGGAAGAATAAAGGGTGACCACAAAGGTTAACGAGGAAAAGGGCCTTCTTACGGATGGCACTGTGTCCCCCAAAATGAGGTGTTCCCGTCCCCATGCTCCGAATGTGACCGTAGCGGACAATAGCATCTCTGCAGCTGTAATTAGTTAAACTAACCTCAGCTCATACAGGAATAAAGGTGCCCTGATCCAATCTGACAGTTGTGTTCGGGACTGTGGAGATGGTACGTTACAACAACCCTGCAAACAACTGAATGACACACGGCCTAGCGCTGCCCCATCCTCACAATGGTTGGGTTGGAGCCTGTTGTTGCAACCACGGTGTCAATCCATCTTGGTGACAGTCTTCCTCTTTTTCACTGACCCAGTGACTACTGGCCTCCTAAAGTAAGTGGGTAGACAGGGGGACAAAGAGGAATACAGGGAAGATCACCATATGGAGATGAGCAAGAAGAGTGATGCGGCCATAAACTAAGAAACATCCGGGGCTGCAGAAGCTGACAGAGACAGGAGTAGATCTGAGACCCTGTAGAGCGAGCACTGCCGTCCTGATATCCCGAACTGGACATCTAGCCTCCCGAACGCTACCAAACTCACGCCCAACTCCCTGCCATCGGGTCACTGCCAACTCATAGTCACCCTCTAGGACACTAAGTAGAACTACTCCCATGGGTGTCTAAGATCCTTACCTCTTTAGGGGAGTAGAAAACGTCTTCTTTCTCCCACAGAGTGGCTAGTGATTTGAACTGCTGACCTTCTGGTTAGCAGCCAAATGTGTAACCACTACGCCACCAGGGCTAAATTTCTGTTGTTTTCAGATGCATAATTTATGGTGATTGCTAACTAATATAGGCATGCTAACAAATCACAGTGGGCAGTATGGGCTAATGGGCTGAGCTACAACTTTGGATATAAACCAACCTAGCTTCATATCCAAGTTTGGCTATCATGTTGGTGACCTTCTGAAAATTTTTAAAATCTAGGAACAAATGAGAATGCAAGATCCTTCCTTTGTGGATTAAAAGCAATTTTACACAAAGAATTTGGTCCTTATCGTTGGTCCCTGGCAGATCACTTCTAAAACCTTAAGATTTCCCCAGTAATTGAAATGTCTCTGTTATCCAAGAAGGCTCTAGACCACACCAGGAATTTTATGCGAATGAGGTGACTCAGGTGTGGGGCCGAGGAGGGCAGAAAGAAGCCACCATTACTGAATCAAGCCTCCACAATGAAGCCTCCCAAGACGGTTCTAAGCGTGGGCGTTCCACGAGCTTCCTGGTTGGTGAAAGACCATGTAGTACACAGGAGAGCGTTCTTTGGGACATGGATGTTCCGTGTTGGGAAGCCCATAACTCTTCCTTTGTATTCTTCTTGCTTTAATGAAACAGTCGTGGTAATGAAGGGGCCCTGGTGGTGTAGTGTTTATGTGTTGGGCTGTGATCCGCATGGTAGGCAGTTTGAAAAGACTGGGCTTTCTACTCCTGTAAACAGTTACAGTCTCGGAAACTGTAGTCAGGGGGTCACTCCGAGTAGCATTGACTCAATGGCAGTGAGTCTGGCTTTGGAATTGTAATTCGAGCTTTTATGGCTTCTGTGTTGTCCTAGTGAATTACCAAACCCACGGAAGTAGTGGGAGTCAATGGGTCAGACGTCAAGGGGACAGAGGACCCTTGAGCTCACAGTTGATATCCTTAGGTAGTAGAGGAAACTCCCAAATGTGTATCCAGACGGTCAACATGGTTGGCCTCCTAAGTAAGCAGTTGAAGAACCTCAAATGTATAACCAGCGGGTGCAATGCGTGTTTCTATTTCCACTGCACAGATGAGGAAGCGAGGCTTCGAGAGGTTAAGTCATGGGATAGAAGTTGAGGCAAAGAAGCTATGGGCTGAGGGGGCTTTCCAATGGGGCCCCTTAAATTAAGTCTCTCAGGACTCGGGCTGACCTGGCAGCGTGGGGAACTGTACCCTTTACCTTGAGGGCTCTGACCCAGATCTACCCAGGTGGTCAGTGTCCGAGGAGGAAGAGCTGCGTGTCCAGCCCAAGTCGGAGCAGACGTGCGGCCGGCCGAGGGCAGCAGAATGGCTAATGCATGTATTTGGATTGACCTCTCTTTGGTATCAGAGAAGTGGGCCTTGGGTTTTCCACCCATGGTTCCTATTCTCGACAGAGACGTTGGGCAGGAGGGAGATGAAAACCTCCTGAAACACAGTGGGACCCCAATAGAGGTACTGAAAACCAAGGAAGCTGGCAGCACTATTGCAGATGGTAAGATGGATTCTCCGGTCTTCCCCACCCTCGCCCTAATCTTGTGAGCTGGCATAGCTGGTTGACCTGGGACAACGCTGGATTCTCTCTCCCCACGTCATAGGAAAGCATCAAAATCCTTTCCTTAAAACACGTGGAAGCCCTTTGGCAGAAGATTTAAGAAGAGCAACCCAAACAGCGCCATTTCCTTACGATGGTAAAATGCCAAGAGAAATAAGGTACTTAATTCCAAGAGAGGGTTGGGTAACAGGTGCAGCGGTCATTCCGTGTGTTAATTAACAATCAAGGTGCATACAGTTACAACATAGGCTTTGTAAAAAAAATTAACCCCAATGTTTCTACTTCCTTTTTCTGTGAATCTACCTTTTCCTCCTCCCCCACCCCCTTAGCAACAGATCCACCTTCTCACAGTGAAGATGCTAACAATGAGGGAACTATAGGGCCGAGACACAAGGCCTTGGATAAGGCAACCCAGGAAGTGCTTTGCAACCACTCACTGACTACGGTGAATCCTCCACACTGCGGATTACAACACTTGAGAGCAGAGTTTTCTACTCCCAAATGGAAGTGGGAGCATAGAACGCATCCACAGGCCACAGGGAAACCCAGTTATGCCTTTTCATTTTTTAAAATACACTCTTTGTAAGAGGGGTGACACTGAGCCACATGGTAGGAAAGGTTGATGACATTTCACAAAGATTCGGTGCCAACACCCTATGACCAGAATTTTTCATTTTTTCTAACAGAGGAATGCACATGACCCCCATCTTCTATGACCAAACCAAAACTCACTGCCATCCAGTCAATGCTGACTTATAGTGACCCCACCCCCACCTCTGCTGATGGGAGTAGAAAGCCAAGTCTTGATCCTGAGTTGCTGCTGGTGGTTTTGAACTGCCAATCATGCCGATCACAGCCCAACACGTAACCACTACACCACCAGGGTTCCCAATTTCTGTGGCAGCTGTCCTCAAATAAGAAGATCCCCAGAAGCTCTGCAGGAAATGCGGCCCATCCCCATGCACTGAAACGCCCTCTGTGTGTCTCCCTGTAAACAATGTTCCCTCATACCTACCATAATGGTGTGCTCTGGAAATCTGGCCCGGACAAGTTTCACGAACTCCACAAAATGTTCCGAATACCCATTGGCCACATCCAGGCAGATAAACTTAACCTGCGGCACAGCCTCCAGGACGTCGCTCATCTTTTCCAGATCATTCTGCCCGCTGCCCGAACTCACCGCGACGCGCTGTACCAAAATAAACCAAGGACAGGCATCATTGGCAGTACCCACAAGTCAGACCTTCCTCCATCCACTCCCTAACCCAGTGACAATGACCCTTTGAGCTTTACCATGATCACATAGGCTTGGAATTAACGCTAGAAACCTATAAAAGCAAGGCCAAGCAATTCACTCATTCAGTCATCTAAAGGTTGACTCTGGTATGTTACCCATCATTAAACGGCATGCATCCTTAGTCCTGGAGTTCAGCCACAGTTTCTTTGCTGTAAACATATTTCTCAATATTCTGGAAAACTGGTATGTTAGGCTGTTATCTAGAGAAATAAATGCAGTAAAACTCATCCATGTTTATGAAAGAGTTTTTTATCAAGAAGAAATTATAAATCAGGAAGGCATCTCAACCCAGTCAAGCTCAAGCCCGCAAGTCCCATGCTAGTCCATACATCCGTCTTCAGATTCATGCAGCCGCAGGCCAGTAATGCAGGAAAGTGAAGCAGGCAGTGGGGAGATCACAGGCTGGTGAGTACAGTCTTGTGGATCCACAGAAATATGGCCGCGTGACGATGGCTCTCAGGGCCACGCAGCCCACTTGGGGCGGTCCTTGGAGGCAGGCAGGGTTCCCACAGGCAGGAAGCCAGCGTGGCAGAGTGTGTGTGTGGGGGGGTAGGCTTCTGTTTCTTTCACTCTTATAAACAGGTCACACCCCCAACGAGGCATCATCGAGCCACTACTTCATTGACAGGTTGAACTCCTCCCCTAGCCAAGAGTGTCTCCTTGACACACTTAATATATGACTACCACCGTCTGGTTCTTGGCTTTTATGGATTTTTCTTTACGTCTCCATGTGGGAATTCCCTGGGGAACTGCTGGTATAACTGTGTGAAATCAACTAAATTCAAGAAAGGCAATGGAGAGAAGATGGGCATAGAAGATAAGCAAGAAGAACAAGGTTGATGCCAGCCAACTCCGGCCGCTTCCACCAAAACGGTGGTCTTCACCTTGAGCACCTTGCTTGGGGAGACAGGGAGAAGGAGATGCCAAAGATGCTTCTGAGAAACTCCTTCCTGTTTCAATGTTATTTCCAACAGAATACTGACGTGAGAGGCAGACCTTACCCCGAAACAAGAGCTCCAAATCTCGTTTTCTCGTGAAAGGTAGCACATTTTCCAGTGCATAAGAACAGACAAACCTACACTTATCTTAAACTGCACCGTGTGCATTCAAATCTGAAGTCTCTTCCATGGTGCCTCCTTCCCACCAACTGCCACAGCGCCAGGGCCTGGAGTCCTGCCCTCCGCCTTCCCTGAAAATCCACCCTTCTAGAAGGGATCTGTTCTCAGTAATGGTTCACCTCCAGTGAAACTGTGTAATGGAACGGTGCCCAGGGCCAGCAGCTCACCTTTCATGACCACATCTACATTCTAACCCTCATCTTTAAATCCTTTGCCAGAGATGAGAAATGTTCCCAAGAGGCTCCCTGGTGGCATGATGGTTCAAGTGCTCGGCTGCTAACCAAAGGGTTGAACCCGCAGCCACTCCACAGGAGACAGCTGGGGCAGTCTGCTTCCCTGGAGAGGTACAGATTTACAGCCTTGGCAAATCCCATGAGACAGTTCTACTCTACCCTACCGAGCCGCTATGGGTTAAAATCAAGGTGGCTGCAAAGGTTTAGGCTAGTCCTGAAAA